GTCGCACTTTGCGCGTGTGAAGCAGGTGAACGCATCGTCCGAGTGCGGATTCGATTGAGCGATGTCCATTGCATGCGGTGTAGTTCGAAGCCAGAGACCTCTGCGGTGGGGGTCGGTGAGGGTTTCGTTCATTTCGACATTGAGTGCAATCAAGCACTCTACGTGCGGGGAATTCGTGGTTAAGTGGCCGGTGACGCGAAGGAGATCGTGGGTCGTGGCCTTCTTGACGCATTTCATCCGCACTAGGATTTCCAAACCATCTAAGCCTGTATCTTTCCATTCATAAAGTATAAAACCTGTTCAAAGACAGAATCTGCATCTGATGGTGAATAATCGAACATAAAATTTCAGGGGAACAAGCGTTTGAGAGCTTGAAGGCTTATTTTGCGCAAAAATATACCTGGTAAAAAAAAAGAGAACTCCGTTCGTTTCCATGATTTACATGCTTATCAGAGTGTGAAGGTTTTTCTCAACAAAAAAAGCAAAAACATATATGGATGATATATATTTGGCACTATCTGAGCAACGTTCCTCCTAAATAAATCAGCAAGCCCCAAAAAATCAAAAGGGAAACAGTTTCCAAAGTTATTCACTGAAAAAATGAAAGCAGACTCAATTTCCATGCAGCAAGTGGAAGTGAATCGAGTAAGCGATAATATCTGAAAATGTTTGCATGTTCAAAAAAATTGGAATGGAACATCTATATCAAAGAGAAACGATGTTTTTTATGGTGAGGAAGTCGTGCAAGCCCAGAAGGAACTTCATAACGCGACGATTGACATCTCCATGAAACTGTGCGTCCGTGAAGTCTGGGATATATGCATCCTTGTGGAAAAACCGCATACTGCAGTGCTACTAGAAACATATTGGTGATTCACATGCTCTAAGATCGAAATTGACACATGGTGCATGTTTTGGGATCACATTGAGTGGACATCAACGTCTGCCATTGCATAGCAACACGCCATTAACAATCATGAGAAAGTATTGAATCCACCTACGATTAACTCTTTCCCTGAAATGGGTATATCGGTGGAACGCAAAAATCATGAACGGGATGGTACCCCTGGCGCATTGTTTACATTTTTTTTATCATTTCTGTTTTCGTTACGTAATGAACTGCACGGCCGTAATTTTTTAAAAGCAATTTCTTATGCCATTTTATCATAATGTGCTGTTAAAATATTGCTTAAGTGGGAGATAAATTGTTTTTCTTGTCCATCCAGTCCGAGAGTGTCCAAAATGTCTGAAATTAGTTACGAATATCAGCAAGCCGAGGGAGAAAGGATCGGATGTACAAGTAAAGGAACTCCTATATGTAGACGAGGGAGGTTCCGATGAACAAGCCGATGCAACCCACGAAATCCCCAACGATCTGGATGAAATCATAGGCTTCGCTCTCAATCAGGACCTCGGCTGTATTATCGACGAAATAGATGTAGATTCCAGTTTCTTCCTCAAGGCTTTCATCCGCAGGCTGCACATCCACCGAGTAGTGAAAAAGTTGGCACGGAGACTTGACAAAAGCAGTTAGTAAGGAATTCGCCATTTAAGAAATTGCTTATTTTTCCTTCAAAAGGATCTTCGTCGGTGATCGTATGGAACGGTGGATGCATTAATGACAACAAAAGTCCTCCTCTGAATTGGACAGGACATGGATTGTAAAATGTTGCACCGGTCGAAACAATTCGTCATTCATTATGACGATGATTAAATAATGAACGACTTTATCTCCTTTATCGACCTGTCATCTTGTTAGAAGTAAAGAAATGTTGCTCGCTAAGAGCCTAATGCACCTCCCAGGCTCTCTTTTGAAAGTAAAAGTATGTCTCCCATTCAGCTTGAGGGGAACCTTTCATTACTTCGACAGTTTCTATAGCAACTGAGACTGACGCAATATTGCGATAGAGGTAACACATACATATTCCCTGAGTTTTTTTGGGTTTTCCATTACAGGTCGTCCAAAGAGCTTTTACTTTTTGTTCCTATCACTGCCCAGAAGATATTGGCCAAAGGGATTCTTCATTCCGATAACTTGAGTATCTTGCTGGAAATAATGTTGAGCATCATCAATACTTTGAATATATTTTTCGATGAGCAGCAGTGAAATTACATCCATTGAATCGGTGTCCCTCCCATCGAAATTAGTCCGTTTTGGTGAGAAGGTCCCTTTTTCGCTTTTAAATACGAGGCAGAATTTTTTTTATCACTTCACATTCTTGTCCCGGCAGACGTCACGACATCGAACTAGATTATCTACATACATCGTTGAATTTTAATTATTGAGTACTGGTAGATCTAATGCAGAAATTTAGGTACTAAAAAAATAGGAGTGAGTGGGGATTGGCTGAGATTCTTATGCAACACGTTGAAATAGCGTTTTTCATTCATTTTCCGTGAGTGGTGTTCCCGTTCCGCATGCGAGACTTGTTATCAGCCTGGGAGCCAGCGACACTTATGGCATAACCATTGAGCCATTGCCAGAAAAATTATCCCAAAAAAATTTTAAAATTGGCTTCTTTCCCCATAAGAATTCATAATAACGCAAAATAAAAACTGAAAATGCATTTGGAACACCCCGCTCTCTTGTTCCAAACGACCTATCATAGATTCCACGAAGGTGCATCAGTATATCTTCCAATCTAAAGAAAACTGTATTCCTTTTTCTTGGAAGCGCGCAGTGCATCCACGACTTGCAATGGTTCTGGACAAGCGTCGTGTCTTCATAATCGACACGAGGACTAGTTATTAAAGTTTTGAAGAACTTCGGTAGCCATCTCGTCGTTTGATATGCATAGGAAAACTATCGAGGCAGGATGGTGCAATCAGAGTTAACGAAGTGGCTTATGTAGCAATGTGACGTGGCATATGCAGCCCCTGGTAACACAGAGTGTTGCGAAGCCTCGGCTCAGGTATGAATAATTTGTTGGCTTCAGTTTATGGAAGAAGATCGTTTGGCGCCGTTCTCTACCTGAACGATGACGTAGATAGAAATATTTTACATTATCTATGGAACGTTCTAACCAATATAGCAGTACACCCCCAGAAAATAGAAGCAGTTTTTTCCAAAGTTATTTTATTCACGGAAGCGAAAAGATTTGCAGCAAGCGAAGTCAGATTAAGAGTTTCATATAGCAACCATAAAGAAATAGTATGCAATTAATTCCTTAAAGTTGAGCATACACAGAGCCATTGGAATGGAACACTTACCCAAGAGAAGAATAATGCTTTTAATAGAAAACATTCCGTGCAAGCGCAGTAATAATTCTATATCGTGACAACCGGCACTTTCATTTAAAATTGTGCGTCAATTAGAGCTGTGATATGCTTCCCTTACATAAAAAATCATATATATAGTGCCACGAGAAACATACTGGTTATTACACACTTGTGGGTCAAAATTCACAAATAATGTGTTTTTGGAATCACACAGAATGAACATCACTAACATATACCGTCGGAAAACATGACCACATAACGAATTTTATGAAACCATTGCATCATACCGTCGTGCATTGTTTCCTTGAATTAACTATTTTGGTGCGTAAACGAACATCATGCATGCAATTGACCTCCAATACTTTGGTTTATACTTATTCCATCATCCGTTTCGTCATCACAGTAATCATCACGGTATACTTTGTTGCTTATTGTTGCAATTATTGCTTAAGTGGGAGAAAATTCCATTAATGCTGGAGTCCATCCAGATGATAGCGTCCACAATTGGCTCAAATTAGTGACGACAGTCAGCAAACCTTGCGAAAAAGGATTGGATGTACAGGTCCAGGAACTCGTAGACGGCGACGAGGGAGATGCCAAGGAACAAGCCGAGACATCCCCCGAATTCCCCAACCATCTGGATGAAATCGTAGGCTTCGCTCTCAATCAGGACCTCGGCTTTATTCTCGAGGAAATCGATGTCGATTTTTGCTGCTTTCCCAACGATATCTTCATCGGGAGGCTGCACATCCACCGAGTAGCGGAAAAACCGGCACGGAGACTGACAGGAGCAGTTCATGAGAATATCTTCCTCGGAGACATTCTTGAGCGTCTGGGTCAAAGGCAAGATTTGCTCGCGAATATGTTCGCACATTGGCAAGGACAAGTTCATTGACGGGAGTCGGCATGAAATATTTGTTAGTCTAAGGACTTCTTTCGATAGGCATGTGTCCCGGCACTGTTTGAGAGGAAAGAAAGCTGCAAAGTATGCGAAATATTTACTGCTATATAGATTTTAATACAACATATATTGTACCTCGTCAGAGCTGTATCCTTCCCTGGATTGGCATGGATAAGCCGTAGTGTGGAGTTGATTCACTTCTTTGGCCGAGAGGATCACGTGATTAGATGTATATAGCTTGATCTTGACCTTAGTGTAAGAAGACTTCAAGTACATGGAGGCCCATCCCAGGTCTTTGTGGATGTATATTGACCAGGATACCGTAACGTTTTCAAATTCAATCGGCGGAGTGAAGAAAAAGAGATGATAACCGGATGATTTCCCTCCGACTCCCAGACTTACATTGGGATGGAATGTGAAACATCGGCTGGGCATACTATTTTCTTCTGATTCGTCTTCATTGAAGAATAGAGTGTGACGCCATTCTCCAACTACTCCGAGATCAATCGTCTGATTCAAGAGCTATGAAATATTTATTGCTGTATCCGCAGGATGCTCTCGGACACGGAGGGCATCATGCATTCTTTACTTTAATTCGACCGCTCAATAGTTCAGTCGGTGTACTTGGCGAAAGTTTGGAGAATTGCAATATTGCCTATGTTGAAAGGACGAAGTGAAAAGAATGATGATGCATATAACATTTAACAAGCCCACCCTTTCTTAGTGCAAATCAACGTTTTGCTGTTACATGACTTAATGAGATTCACATTTTTATGTTGAATGTACTTAATCGTGACATCCCTCATTGCGGACAGGTTTTCCTCGTAATGTCTAAACTCCGTTTAGTCATTAGTAGTTCAGCGTTTTCATAGTACTCCAATTATAATTCGTGCTCCCAATTTCGTGATTTCTTGTGGCGTTGTTTTCGACACTTGCCTTTGGTGTGGAAGATGTCGTCTCCAGGGGAGGCTTCTTCTGGCAAGCAAGCGTCGTTGACACCATTGATTTTGCAAGATTGAAGTATATCTTTTGGACTGAATCCCAAAGCCTTTGTGAATGAAGATAGGTTGAGTTCGTCGAAGCTGGATTCCAGGCCTTTCTTGAAGGATGGCGTTCGGCAGAGGGTGATCTTGGGAGCTGGGAAACTCCATCGTTCTTCAACTCGGTAAGTTGTCACCGTCAATGTCGTCTGGTACCGCCGCCAGTACTCCAGAGCCTAACCGTTTCCCAACATTTTCAGAATTCTATCCTCGAAAGCGCTACGAAAGATGAGATTCTCACCTGAACGACAGTAAGGAGAACTGCGCATGAGTATACCAGAACAGTCAATGTCAGGCATCTCTTCCTTTCCGAAGGCACTTTCGCGGAGCTCATTTTCAAGTGGATGTGACGATGGCGAAGGAGTGGTTTCGTATAATGGGAATGGGCTCTTCTTCCTACGTCATGTGCCTGTTCTCATCCATTGATCCAATTCATTAATAGACGGTCAGAATATGTATTCATCAGCAATTTAATTTCAGTTATAAAATCAAGTATCAATTAGTAAATTAAAGTTTGTTTTATGTAAAGCCTTATATCTCCGACAAGCATATTCAGAATTATTCGGGTCTTATTGAACATCCCAAGACGACGGTAACAAGTTTCTGTTTGGGATTGACTGATTCAATTAGACATGATGACAGATTTATGAAAGAAGTTGGTTGTTTCATGGAAGATTCCTCAACAAATCAATTTCTGGGAGAATCTACATATACAGGGTGTCTCAGAAAAATGTATACTCACTAATAAATAAAAGATATGTTCAAAATTTTCACTATTAGCATCCAGGCACTGTTGTCCGCAGTGAGCAACAGTGTAACAAACTTGTGGACAGGTTTCTGCTGGGATAGCAGCTCAGGAATCCTCAATTTCATGCGATCGTGTGAATGCTTGCATCGCAACATCAGCATTTTCTCTATCTATTGATGTGTGAGGTCACCCAGAACAATGTGCATGACTGTACTTGCAATGTTCTGGGAGACCATGCACTGCACCATCAGCATCAACATTATCGTGAATTTCCATTACGCATCCAAATTGCCTGATGACTTGCGATCATTAAATTACACATTGTCATCTGTTAGGTACATGTCACATTAAATATCGTCCCTCTCTGAATGATTTAATACATACTCTTGATTTGAGCGTGTATACATTTTTTGAGACACCCAGTATATATAAATGTCGCAGTTAATAAAATCACCTAACCATGAAGGAGTGGTCGTATGGAGGTGAGAGTTGTGCCATATTGATTGTCATGGTCTTAGGTTGCACGAAAATATGACAATATAGATTAATTAATTAAAAAGGTAAGTATTTTTTTTTATTCCCGACGATGTTTCTTTAGTGCGCTCTCTTGTATCGAACTATGCAGTCTCTTCAATCTCAATGACCCCCTTCACATATGATTACTGAATGAATTTATTTTACTGCCAATTGAAATTTACCTTAGGGAAAAACTTCCGAAGTTGACCCCATGCCGAATGGTACATTTGTATGAACCGCAAGCTCTTGATATGTAGATTGCGTTGGTGCATATTTTAGCTTAGAAATGTAATAACATAATTAGTAATTTGAATTTTAAGAATTGTCGGTTAAAGGATAGGCAGGCGATGAGTGGCGCGGCACGTTTAACATCGAGGTAACCGCGTTGAATGGAGAGCGAAAATGTCCATTTTCGTTGGAACAGAAAACTCTATGACCTGTATTCCCTCAAAAAAATTACTCAATCATCTGGATGCTAGACTGTTTCATCAGTGGTTTTAGGTTTTCACTATGAATCCTAAGTAACTAACCTCAGAGAAGACAGGTTTGCCACAGATCAAGCGAGCCGCATTCCTTCTATGCATTGCCGAAAGAGAGAGAAAGTCTACCGAACTTTGGGGGTGATGGGTTTAGAAAATAATGAAACCCCGACTAACTCAACCGACCCATCATTCCACAATAGAGGTTGATGTCCTCACTCTTTAACATTTAACACCAAAGTGAGGAAAAGAAAATAGTGAGATCCACTAACCGTGTCAGTGCGCTGGAGAGTCTCGCCAGAACAACGAAGACTAGACCACAAGGCCGTAGAAATACATGAATCTCGTGCAGTGCGCATGCCTGGGAAGGTCATTGCTCGGCTAGCAGAAGAAATGGCCTGGGCGGGGCTTTTGACATGGCTGCTCCAAAATGCTCATGTTTAACGTAACCATTATATCAACACGTTAATATCACGCAGTCAAACTCTGTAACTGAAACATGTATCACAGCAACATATTTATACAGTATTTTCATGTAATGCATCTCTTGCACCATTCTGCGGGTAGTCCACTTCGGAAGTCATCCCAACTCGGAATTGACACCCGCGAAGCGGATAGTATATTCTGTCTTCAAGGTGATTCGCCTGTTCGGTGCTGATTCGGTGAAGCCAAGCATCATATTTCATTTCGCGAAGGCACAATCTCGAATGATGATGCAGATTTCCATTAAAACATAAAAAGCAAGTCTTAAAGAGTTTGGCCTCTGGTACTGTGACGCAGACGAACAAAGCAAACGAAGCGTTAAACTACGTAAATTCTTTGTTAATCTGTAAACTGCACAGCCCTGGTAGATTATCTGTAAGAAAAAGAAGTAGGAGTTCTTCTGTCTTTCAAAATGCTTGTTTGAAGTGAATAATAATAATATTAAATGATTCAGAGCCAACTGAAATGGTAAACGTTTTTGCGAAACACCATGTAGTCCTCGAAATCACTCAAACCATAAAACAAAAAATATGCATAATCCCATATTTCTGCACCTGAATCAGGTTTGGATATGTTTCTTTTTTAAGTTGCAAAGTTTAACATGAGGTAAATACATACCTTGCATCCAAACTCATGGGTAGGGAAAAAAATTGAAATTCCCTGCTTGCTTCACCTGTTTCGGATTTTTCATCAAAATATCTCGAGAAGACTGCCGATCTACTCGAAGGGGAGATTACGATCGTTGATAGAATGGAGTGGTAGAGACGAGAGCTTGTAATCCAGTCCTTAAAATGACTCGCGACATCGTCGATAAGCGATACTCGCGCGAGTGCGAAAAATTTGAATTCATGTCTGAACCGCAGTGAGGAAGACGATGCACGAAAAGACGAAATTTCCCGGAATTCTGCTTCTTTTCCCTTCAAAGGAACTTTTTAGCTCGCCTGAAAGGGGAGGATAAGGATCGTAAAATGTTGCTCCTGTCCAAACACTTGGTCATTCATTACGACGATGATTAAATAATGAACTACTTTAGCTCCTTTAACGACCTGTAATCTTGTGAGGTGTAAAGAAATGTTTCTTGCCAAGAGCCTAATGCACCTTCCCTCGCTCTCTTTTGAAAGTATATGTCTCCTATTCAGCTTGATGGGAACCTGTCAATGTTTCGATAGTTTCTATAGCAACTGAGACTGACGCGAGATTGCGTTCGAAGGAACACAGGCTTCTTCCCTGGAATTTTTTTAAGCATTATTATAGGCTCTAAATTGCAGGACGTCCTTTTTTTTACTTTTAGCTTTTGTTCCTATCACTGACCGCAAGATGTTGACCAAAGAGATTCCTTAATAGGATAACTTGAGTGTCTCGCTGGAATTACTTTCTAGCATCGCCGATACTTCCGAATGTATTATACTTACTATCACTATGTGGAACTGTCGCTTCGTGTATTGTCGAATGCGAATATTGTCGAAAATTCCACAATTTTTTTTTCCTTTTCTCCACTCTATTCTTATTGATTCCTGGATAGTGGATAGATAATTCGGGCACGGATCCCACTGGAGCACAATTTCTTCATAGCTGTCGGCTACAGGTTGCCTGCCCTCCTGAGCATCGTTAATTCCTTTTTCACAGAACACATTGCACTGGCTGCCTTCTTGCAGCATGTGCGTAAGCTTTCTATATCTAATAGGGTGTGCATTTGTGGTGATTTTGAGAATGAAAGAAACCACAGCTTAAGTCAATCAACAGCCTTTCAGTTATTACTCTCTCATTTTCTTCTAGCTTATTTTGGCTCTGGTGGGATTACCGAAAAAGATCTTTCTACACTGAAGGTTTGAGCAGGACCGTGCCCCTGATGAGTATCCTGCTATTCTTTCAGATCCCAAGGGCTCCTTTCCTTTCTTCTCTTTTAAAATTCCATTATCTTACTTTTTGGAGTCGGTTGTCTTGATTAGCAAGCTTTGAGATCTCATTACTTTTCTCCTACATTTAGTTGTGTTGTCAGTTGTGGTCGAGCTTCTCGCGCTCTGCTTCACTACTTATAAGTATTTAAATCCTTCCACGGCACCTGCCGGTATTGGAGATATGAGGGGGGATGAACCTCATCCCAGACCTCATACTCGCCTAATTCTGAAGGATACGGCGAAGGATGCTGGCCGTGCCCACGAATGCTGTACGCTANACTCAATCATCTGGATGCTAGACTGTTTCATCAGTGGTTTTAGGTTTTCACTATGAATCCTAAGTAACTAACCTCAGAGAAGACAGGTTTGCCACAGATCAAGCGAGCCGCATTCCTTCTATGCATTGCCGAAAGAGAGAGAAAGTCTACCGAACTTTGGGGGTGATGGGTTTAGAAAATAATGAAACCCCGACTAACTCAACCGACCCATCATTCCACAATAGAGGTTGATGTCCTCACTCTTTAACATTTAACACCAAAGTGAGGAAAAGAAAATAGTGAGATCCACTAACCGTGTCAGTGCGCTGGAGAGTCTCGCCAGAACAACGAAGACTAGACCACAAGGCCGTAGAAATACATGAATCTCGTGCAGTGCGCATGCCTGGGAAGGTCATTGCTCGGCTAGCAGAAGAAATGGCCTGGGCGGGGCTTTTGACATGGCTGCTCCAAAATGCTCATGTTTAACGTAACCATTATATCAACACGTTAATATCACGCAGTCAAACTCTGTAACTGAAACATGTATCACAGCAACATATTTATACAGTATTTTCATGTAATGCATCTCTTGCACCATTCTGCGGGTAGTCCACTTCGGAAGTCATCCCAACTCGGAATTGACACCCGCGAAGCGGATAGTATATTCTGTCTTCAAGGTGATTCGCCTGTTCGGTGCTGATTCGGTGAAGCCAAGCATCATATTTCATTTCGCGAAGGCACAATCTCGAATGATGATGCAGATTTCCATTAAAACATAAAAAGCAAGTCTTAAAGAGTTTGGCCTCTGGTACTGTGACGCAGACGAACAAAGCAAACGAAGCGTTAAACTATGCAAATTCGTTGTTAATCCGTAAACTGCACAGCCCTGGTAGATTATCTGTAAGAAAAAGAAGTAGGAGTTCTTCTGTCTTTCAAAATGCTTGTTTGAAGTGAATAATAATATTAAATGATTCA